GCCTGACCTCGCGACTGCTCGCGGAGCAGCGGCTCAGAGTTGCCTGCGATGCTATACGTGTCCACGGCAAAAGGCAGAAGCTGGCCCGCAACGCGCGTGCAAAACCAGCAAGGGCTGCCCCCCATTGATAGGTTAAGTCGGATGTCATCGACGCACGCGCAAATCTAAGTTAGGAGCAGGCTCGCCCCCCGTGACAATGAGCAACCGCCAGGGGGGGCGCGCGCCACTTGCTTTCGGCGGTGGCCGCGCTGGGGCCTGCAATAATGCGTTGCCGGTAATAGACCGCGCGCGAGGCCTGACCAGCCAATGGAAGAACTCTCGGCCACTGATGCGCAGCCACCGCGCACTGAAGCACGCGCAAAGGATACATGAACTGGAGAGCAGCTTCGCCCAGACCCTCATGTCGGACATGGTCGTGGCGCTGTCCAAGGCCCCTTATGGCGTTGACGACGTGCAATAGGCCATGGCGCGCTCGGTCTTCCCTGACGGCTTGCGTCCGACTCGTCCGACCCCCGTCCGCGGCGTGAAACGCGCAGCACCGCTCGAGTGGAAGTTCCCGCTCTGGTAGAATCTGGGCGTTCCACTTGGACGCTAGCCTGCCATGACTTCGGTAGATGACGATAGGTCGGAAGTCTTTCTTCGGCTGACAGAAAGGAGGCTCAGTCAAGATCTGCGCCCGCGATTTGCGCGGGGGCCGACCTTCCCGGCATCCCCCATGAGCCTACCGCAAAATGTTTGTAGAACCCAGAAATGTTCCACTAACGAAGCCCGATGTGTTAAAACAAAACAGCCCCATCCAGAAATGCTCTAAGGACATTCGGTGCAAACCGCAGAAGGTTCCAACGACATTCTTCGGTGGGCCTATAGGCGAGCCAGGAAGCCCCGCAACTGCTTGAACGATGTCAGGTTGCCGCGCAGCCTAATCAGCACCAGCATCTCGCATGGAATCGCTAGGCCCCCGCCAGGTAACGCTGCGACATGTTGGGGGCGGAAGCCGCCCATGTCCATCGCGCGCTTCTCGATGGATAGGGGGCCGGCGGAAATCGTCGACGGGATCGGGGTCGCCAGCCAGGAGAGCGGCGCGGGCCCCCCGACCGGCGCGGCACTCCATGCCCGAGACCGCAGCTCCACCTGGGGCTTCAAGGCCGCAGCCCAGGCACGCCGATGGGGGCCCGTCGTCGAAATTGCGATAAACCTGCCCCTGCCTCCCCTCCGCAAATCTCCGCTTTGGCGCGGGCGCACTTGACCCCTCCTTCTGAAGCCTCCGAATGCCAACCAATTCAGATGTCACGGGGGGCCCTATTTTTCACGGGGCAGGCGGCGCTGCGCAGTCCCATCCGCCCCCGTGTCAAACCAATCCAGCCCAAGATTCAGGGCGCCGTGGGAGAAGGTAAAATGAAATGCACGCGCTGCAATCTTATTACATCCACGTGGTCCACTTTTCCCGAGATGGTGGAATAGCGGACCGTCCAGGTCTCGCGCCGCCCCCTGAGGGGCGCCGGCACATTGGTTCAACCGTTGATCCTCGCATATCGCGCCGTCGCGCGGGAGGCTGCGACGCGGCGTCGACGGGGCAACCAGACTATCGCGCGATGGCCCCGGCGACCGCGATGCTGCTCGGTCGCCCAGAGACAGGATGATGGAACATCTTCCAAGGCGCATTCCGAACTTCCCAGGGCCCCCTACATCAGGATGGGTCTAGCATATGCATGCATATATAGATAGATAGAGCGAGAGAGAGAGAGAGAGAGAGAGAGAGAGAGAGAGAGAGAGAGAGAGAGAGAGAGAGAGAGAGAGAGAGAGAGAGAGAGAGAGAGAGAGAGAGAGAGAGAGAGAGAGAGAGAGAGAGAGAGAGAGAGAGAGAGAGAGAGAGCGATAGAGAGAGAGAGAGAGAGGAAACAAAAGAAAGAGAACGACAAAGAGAGAGAGAGAGAGAGAGAGAGAGAGAGAGAGATAGGGAGAGAGAAAAAAAAAACATTTACCAAAGTTCATCCCAGGCCGTGCCGCGCCACCCAGCAACCGCGTCGCCCGGGGCCTCCCGGGCCATCAGGCGCTTGCCATCTGTGTCCGGCGTAAAGAAGCCATCCCCACTGCGGCGCTTGAAGTCCCATGGAATTACATCTATGGAGGCCTCGAGGCACCCGTATTCTGGCGCTCTGGGTCGAGGCCCTGCAGAAGCGCCAACGTGGAGTTCCTGCCCATGAGCAAGGCGCGATACTGGGCGGCGCGGTGACAGACGAGCCCCCACGTCCGTAATGTATTTTCCGGCAGCATGCTGCAGAACAAACGCCACTGCGAAATAATCGTAGCACCTTCTGGAGTTACCTGCCACGCACGTCACTCCTGCAGGTGGAACGAGCACTTTGCCCTTGCATTTCCTGGGAGGGCGGGCCGTTTCCAGAATGCGAGGTTCCAAATTGCGATCTTCACTCGAGACAAATGGAAGGTCCCGAGAGAGCATGTGGCTTTCCAGAGCCTGAGAAATAGAAGTGTTCTCGGCGCTCAGCCAATCACTGCAAAACCACGAGCTGGAGTAGAAGCTGACAACGCCGAAGTGCTTGAAACGAACAAGGATGTTGATACCTCCGTGCGTCCAAACGATGGAATCACTAGACTGTTACGCGCCCAGGTAATCCCCAATCAGAATCGCAACTCCAGCAGACATTCCAAGCCCCGCGTCCTGGCATTTAGCCCAGCACGATCGCAATTATTGTTCAGAAGCGAAACCTTCGCTTCTCGAAGTCGTTGCCCAAGTAGCTTGCGCTCCTGCGCGAGCGCGATGTGCGCGGAGCTGGCCTTGATGACGTGTGGCCCAGTCCCAGCCCGAACCGTTCACGGTGAGAACGTTGAGCCCGCTCTTGAGAGGCGGACCTTGTACTTGGACAGGAACATTGTCCTGCGGGACTGGCGATAGTCACTCCTCATCAGATTCCTCATCCATCTGACGGCTGCGGCTCCGACCGCGGCGGCCCGCGGCTCGATCGTTGCCCTTGCACTCGCCAGTGCGTTTGCAATTGTCCTTGCCCCTGTCCCATTTGCCCTGCGGCCGCAAAGCCCCAGCCTCAGCTGGCGGGGCTTGGCCTGCGGCCACTGGTGGGGCCGGCGCTGGGGGCGCCGCGGCGGCAGCTTCCGCAGTTGCTTGCTCCAGATGGCATGCACCACCAGCGACTGCATGGGGCCCAGCAGGGCCTGGGACTCCTCAGAGGTCAGGCGACTCTGGAATGCCGTGACCTCGCCCATCAGGGAGTGGATCGAACCCTCGGGTGCTGCCACTGGCGCGCGCTGCGGCGCCTCGGGATCCGACGCGGGCATGGGCGCGAGCTTCTTGACCGTCTCCAACTGCTCCCCGATGCGCACCTGGCACTCCTAATTATATGGCGTCCTCATCTGCGGAGATAAATTTCCCCTGCTCGACGATCTTGCTGCGGAGCTCACTTATGTTATGACAGTGTGCACGATGTTCTCTTCATGTTTGCTGAGAGCCGTCTGTACCTTCAGCAATTTCTGCTGCGCGACTGTCATCAACTGCTGCGGCATCTTCTGAACGTCACGCTCCTGACGAAGATGGGCAATGACCTCTTCGAGCGTCTGCTTCGCTAGGGAGGCGGGCCGAACACCGTCGGCCTCCTTCTTCGCCAGAGCGTCGATGGGAATTCCTGCACAGGAACATATGCTGCCCCACTGAGGAGCTTGTCAAGGCGGCGTACTAGAGCCCCCTTTGGTCCCCATCTCTACATCACCTGACGTGATATCATTCGGCGGCAGGGGTCGGGGGCTCTGCTTGCCAGTGCGAGCCACACATGCGGCAGCAGCTGAGCCGAACATGATTCACTGACATACAATGTTTGCTTGACCACTGCTGGGTCAAATGCTGTTGTAACTATCATCAACAACATCATCATCCTCTTCTCACCATCATCACCGTCATCACAATCATCATCGCCACCACCATCATCACCATCGTCAACATCATCATCATCATCATCATCATCACCATCATCATCATCATCATCATCGTCATCATCATCAGCAGCAGCAGCATGATCATCATGATCAGCATGATCATCATCATCATCATCATCATCCTGCCTCCCCTTTCATGAATAATTACCCAAGGCGCCCGTAAACATCCCCCGAACATGCCAAAACAACCATAACCTCAACCGTAGACCTCCCGTATCGTCTGGGGGTCGGCGGAATGGCGTAAGCCTCTTGAATTAACGAGTGGGTCCACTCGCGCTATAAGCTGAACTAGATTATCAAAGATCCCCCTCCTGCTTTTCATCCCTATCCTGCCCCTCCACCTGCTACTCTACCTCCTCATTCTCCTCCTCCTCCTCAGCCGCATCCCCGTCCCTATCCCCACCCCCTTTCCGCCTCCTCCTCCTCCTCCTCCTCTTCCTCCTCCTTTTCCTCCTCCTCCTCCTCCTACTCCCCCCACCACCTCAGCATCGTTAGACGCATCCCCATCCCCACCAGGAAAAACTTGGCCCCGCTGTCCGACACACACACACACACACACACCTGTAGAAGGTGGGAATAGATGCCATCTCCGTCGGATTTTGCCCCCTTCGAGGGGGTAGGCTTGTGGCGCTGAGGAACTCTGGCCCACTGAGGATGGCGATATGTCTGACGATTCTGATCCCCCCACCTTTCCTTTCCTGCTAACCAAAATCCTGGAGGCCTCGTCGGACCCACATCAATTTTACATGGGATTCACGCCGGATTCAAGTCGGACATACGTCGGAGCATCACCTCGCTAGCGTCGACCCGTATCTTACGGAGCGGACGTGTGGACTAAATGACACAACCATTGCGGCCATGGCGCACCGTGCGAGGCCTCCAGAACGTTCCCAGTAGCCTCCCCCTCCCATGCCCGCTCACATCCCTTTCCCTCCCAGATGTCTGGGAGTGTGGGAGGACGAGCAATAGAACCCGGCGCTGCACAAGCAAGGGCACCCCGCAGGCGCCGGCAAGCCGAGCGGAGGGAGGTTGAGCGCCTTCGTCGTCGGACTCCGCCGGGTCCGGGGACGCCTGCTTGCCCACCGCGAAGGGGATCGGAGACGGAGACTCGACGTCCTCCCGCGCGACGGAGACGTACCTCCAAGGCTTGGGCTTTTGGGAGGAAGCTCCAGGGAGGACTGCTTGGGGGCGGTCAGGGGCTATTGGGCCCGAGTGAGGAGCAGCCAAGCTGGATAGTCAAATTGGGCACAAGATCGAGCTGGGTTGAGCGGCATTACGCGGGATTCGGCCAGATCAGGCCGGATCTTGACCAAGGGTGCGAAAAAATGACGGACGATGACCAGCCGTACGTCGTAGTGAAGTCGGTTCAACCTTCGCCGTCGGTGAAGCAGGCCCCTACGCGCCGCCACGCTGATCCCGGGCAGGCTTTGCTGCCCGGCAGAGGGGAGAAGGAGGGGTGACACAGGCAAGCAACGATGAACGCGCAAGCGGGAAGCTGGGGCTGGGCGGGCGGGCGGGCATGCGGAAGGGGGGCTGGGCGGAGACAGCAGGCAAGAAGCAGGAGGAACGAGGAAGTACAGAAGAGGAGGAGAGGGAAAGAACCTGCAAGCGTGGCCGTGGCAGAAATGGCATTGCTAGTAAATTGAAAAATTAGACCTGACTTCTCTTGATCGGTAACAGTGGCAATGATTGCCGAGCCGAGGTGGCACTCGACGTAGTTCAGTCCGCAGCAGCCGTATTAGCACGGCCAGCATTGGTAAACTAGTTTTGCACCCCTCAGCCACCAAAATAGGAGTTGCCGCAGGGATACAAGCGATAGTAGCATCAGCTTGTCAGACCAGTTGCAGCGACAGCAGCACCAGCTGCAGCAGCAGCAGCAACCCCAGTAGCAGCCAGCCATGACCGCAGAAAAAAAAATCGGCAGCCGATGTAATCAACAATCATAAAGACACTGTAATGCATCACGGTATGTGATGTGCACATCAAGGGCGCCGGGGGATAGACTGGGCAACGAAGCGAGAGCCGAGAGGGCGAGGGGGAAGCAGGACACGAGCAGACGGAGACCATTTGGGGTGGGGCGGGGGGGGGATTGGGGAGGATAGCGATCGAGAAATAAAGAAAAGAGAGAGAGAGAGAGAGAGACGGAGCTGCTGGGGAAGGCGGGCAGGATTGGGGAGCGGAGTGCCCTGGTGCTTCTCGTCTTCGGTCGCACTCATCCTCCTCCTCCTCCTCCTCCTCCTCCTCCCCGTAAGTCTCTTTTCTCCTGCGCGCCCTCCGTATCCCCTGGGTGCTCCGACGCTCTGAAACCTGTGTGCCTTCATATCCAAACACTCTCGCTTGGCGCACATCCGCGTAGAGCCCCACCCCACCCCAGAGGCTCGGGCCTGTCGCCAGTGCAAAGATTTGATTCCCCTTGCCTGTGGGGCTGCGGGGCCACTCGTGGCGCCCTCGTGCCCTTGTAGCGGCCATTGGGCTAGCCTGATCCTCCTCGTTCTCCTCCACACTTCCAAGGGCCTTCAAAATCATCCCACATCCGAAACCTCCCCAGCCTCCACATTGTCGAAACAGGTCCCGAACCCGTCCAATCGCAAGCACCACCTCGCAAAACATCCAGCTTCCAAGGGCACTCTTCTGACATGTTACAAGTGATTCCAACGCCTCACAGAGCCTCCGCGAACCTTCCACATGTGTGAAGGGGCAACGTTGAGGGGGACCAGCTGAAGAGAGGGAACCATCGAGTTTGAATCGGCGACACATCGCCGATTGATCGAGGATAGGCCCCAATGGCCAATCCGCACGTTCATGGGCGGGGTGGGCTATCGGGCGCCCGTCGGAGATCCATGGGCGATCGAGGGTCGATGCAGGCCCTTCTGAACCCGATTCACCCCAAACGTTGCCCCTGATTGCAGAGCCTCTGCGAACCTCTCATGTGGTGTAGAAGCCGAAGCAGTACACTAGGCACTCGACCACAAGAAACCTTCCACAAGAAACCCAATCCTGGAACCCCATGACGTCCACTGAATTTCATTGCGGGCGCGTCACGCTCTCCATAGCAGAACCGTCGAAACCCAGGAAACCTAGGGCACCCTGGAGGCAAGCAAGGTGTGTCTTGGCATGGGTATCCACTGTACTCTCGACGACGACGACGGCCCTTCCTACTCCGCCTCCTCCCTCGATCCTCTTCCTCCTCGTCTTCCTCCTCATTCGTTTCCTTCTGCCTCCCTCCCTCCGCCTTCTTCGCTTCTCCGCTTCGCCGCTCCTCCTTCAGCTACCTTCTCGTTTTCTTAAGCGTCTGATGAACGGTGTGTTTCCATCCAGAACCTCCAGCGGTCTCGACCCCCTCCCCACAGGGGACCGCTACGCCCCAAATCCTATCTCTCTTGATGGCCCCCTGTGTTCTTCAGAACGCCCTCCCCGCGCCTGAAATTGGCGCGAGAGGCCCAGGTTGAAAAACTCAAACAGCGACAGCGGCGACAACGACGACAACGCTGTCAACGATCAGCTTGCGAGCGCGTGACCTTGAAAGCTTGTTTGGCTTTGATGTGTGAATCCTCATCCCTTGTGCCCGCCCTGGAAGTCTATGGGCCGCACCCGTTCTGGGGCGTGTTGAGGAAGCTTTTGTCCAGTAGCAATACTCAGAACTGCAGGTATCCAGATATAGGAGAGAGCGTGATCCACCGCCGCTCTACTGTGGAAAATTGCCAACTTTTTCCTCCGGAGCCCGGGGTCTCCCCCCCCCCCTTCCGAAAATCCCCCCCCCCCTGCTGGAACCTCCCCCCTCCCCCCCCTCCCCCCCCCCGGCACCCCCCCCCCTCCCCTAACCCCTCCCGCCCCCCCCCCCCGTGGAGGTTGTATCAAAGTGCCTGCAAACAAAGCATTTTTGAGCTGTGGAATAGCTTCTCGGGGACGTCAAGCGTTAGTTGTAACACTCCGAATCATCAGCGTGCATCCGCCAAACCTATGACACATGGAGGATCAGAGCCAAGCGAAAACTTGAGGCAAGCACGCAACATCCTTCACAATTGCTATATATATATATATATCGCTGCGCTGGTCACTGCCTGCCCAACTTCCCCGTTGAAGTGACTGCCAATCATGCATTCGAACGCGCTGCGAAGCACGAGCCGCGATGTCGATTCGTTGCGCCCACTGGAGCGAACAAATCGCGCCCCCCTGAGGCGAACGCACACTGAACCCCGTGGTTCAATAACATCGTCCTAACATACAAAATGAAGCTGCCAACGTTAACGCGAACCTTGCACCATATAACTTCCACCACATGAAACACACTTCAAGATGTTGCACCACGTGCCTTGTTCCACATTGCTTCTACATTTTGAAAACCACGTTGAATCGCTGCGTTTGGGCTCGTGTTGGTAACGCCCTTTTTTCAAATTGCACAAATCGCAGGTCAAGTATCAGCTCAGGAAAACGCACGGGAGGCAGGTCGCTCGCGAAGGTTGCGCGCAGCCACAGCGGTCGCTGGCCTCTTGCGCAATAGTTTGGCACTGCGAGGCAAGCTGCCGAAGTCAACGCGAGGATTTGCTCGCAACGACACCTTTAACTTTGAGGCGATTTTTGGCGGGCTCTGAATAAGCGCGCCCAGTGCAGCCTGCAGAACCTCGCGACTTGGTGAGATTCAGTCAAGGGCAAGCTCTTCCTGGCCCACCCTACCAACAACTTGGCGAACGTGCAGATTGAGCATACTGCCCGCGCATTCCGCTCGGTTTGGATGAACACATTTCGGAAAAACGCTTTCAATTGCATGTGCAACGCCTCAATCCTCGTAGTCCCGTACATGACTTCCAGGTCAGGATTCCGGGCAATAAACCTCCCTAGGTTGAGGAGGTACTCGAGTTGCTTAGATGATGTTGCATACCGCAAGCTTCCGAGAATAGTCGTCTTCTTGCTGGTTGTCTTGGTCATCTCCTTCGGGAAAAGCTAGCACAATGCGGCCATGTCCTTGACAAAGGCTGCGGCGGCGCGGTATGGCCGCTCAGAGTAGCCCTCCGACTCGATCACCGTCTGCACCCGCGCAGCCAAGGCATCAGACACCGAAGCAATCACATCATCTAGGGGTTGCGTATCCGTTTGCCGCCGTTGTCCGCGGAAATACGGCCTACCATCGTCGAGTCCTTTGGAGAACTTGACGATGCATTTGCGGATGAGGTTAGATAGCCGAGTCCGTTTCTCGTTAGATGCTTGCTCAACTTTGAGAGCGATGTGAAGCGGGTCTTTGGCAATGCATTGCAGGCGCCGAAAAGACTCTCGAAGAGCGCTTTCCTCTAGAGAAGCAGGCGCATCAAAACAGATCATGCGCACCTGTCTCGCGCATCAGGAGGACAGACAATGAAACCTCACTCTATCGTCCCCTCCTCTCCTTCCTCCTCCTCCTCCTCCTCCTCCTCCTCCTCCTCCTCCTCCTCCTTCTCCTCCTCCTCCTCCTCTCGCTTCTCTGACTCCAGCTCCAAGGCCAGATCCTGCAGATCCTTTCGTGGATCTCTGAGGCCTGCGAAATCCTCCGAGGCCGCCGGCATAGAGGAAGAGGAGGCAAGGAGAGGATAGGAAGGAACAGGAGGAGGAGAAGGAGGACAGACAATGAAAACTGACTCTACCTTCCCCTCCTCCTGCTGCTGATCCTCCTCCACCTCTTCTTCCTCTTCCCCCTCCTCCTACTCCTCTTTCTCCTCCTCTTCCTCCTGTTATCCTCCACCGCTTCTGTCATAATTACAGTAAGCGTTCTTTGCAGAGTCTTTGGATGGAGTGCCAACGGATTCGTTCACAGGCGCCATCGTCATGTTTCGCTCTGCTCGGGCGCCGTCTTGCGCAAGGCTACTGACCTTTGAATCCTTCTTGAGAGATTACAACAAGATTCCTGTTGTGAAGATTACAATCGGATTCCTTTCGGGGAAGGTTACAACATGATTTCTTTTGTCAAGGATTACAATCGGATTCCTTTTGTACAGGATTACAATAGGACTCCTTTCGAGGACGATTACAATAGGACTCCTTTTGAGGAGGATGACAATAGGATTCCTTTTGTAGAGGATTATAATAGGATTCCTTTTGGAGGGGATTACAATAGGATTCCTTTTGTGAGGGATTACAATAGGATTCCTTTTGTAGAGGATTACACTA